ACATATTTCATAATATAATAAATCGTAGGTAGGTACAAATATCTAGTATATAATTACAAAAGTATAATATTATAACAAGTATTTAGCGATTGAATCACAACTTTACAAATGTTCTTAAAATTTGATATAAAATATAAAATTAAAATAGTATTTATTATAAGCTATTAGTGGTATATGTATGAATAAGAGCAAAAGAAACCGCAATATTTTCAATACATTTTAAAACCATACACTTACATTTTATACAGTCCACTGACCAATATTCTAAACTTTCACTTAAAGTTGAGCCTCCTAAAAAAAACAGAAGTTGTGTACAGATAAAATAGATGTTTTGAAATCAGTATTATCTGGAGAGATTGAAAATCATACATTTAAATCATGTAGTAAACCCAAGAAGAGTAGTATATTATGCATTATTATTTAATAATGCTTATTAAAATATATTACTTGTAATTATAAATTATAAAGGTAGGTATAAATATGCAACAGGCATGAAAGCATAAATAGAGATCATAGGTGAAAACAACAAGTTGTTTTTACCTATTTTACATAATAATGCAAATCATCAATATTGAGAATTAGAATATCACTCCACTACATTACGTCATTGTTAGAACCAGCATAAATACGGGTGGAGCAAATACCATTATTTAGAAGATAGTCAGCTATGCTCGATAGCATAATACGCTTACGACAGTGTGCTTAATAATTTTTATTTTTAAATTATAATTAATAAACGGTTTTCCTTTATTGTTAACAAAACAAGTCAAAGTGTTCAATTAATTTCAATACATATCTTTCTCAACACACATCTGAAGACTGACGACTACTAACCTAACCACATGCACGGTGTCGGGTATGTTTGGGTTTTAAAATCGAATGAAATAAAATTGATTTCAATATACAAGTAATTCGAGACCCACCGACGAACCACGTTCAAATCAGTCAAAAGATTCAAGACGAATTGAGTGAAAACAATTTGCTTTCAATCCAGCCCAAACGGTCAGTTCAAGGAACAACGTCCACGGAACACAGTACAAGCCAGCATAGCTATTATTATAACAGCGTTAAGATTTCTTCCGGAATTTGCAGGGGGAAGTGAGACCGATCTAGCATCATTTATCTCACAATGCGAATAAGTATTTTCAAAAATACCCGAAACCATGTATGTAACCAAAATCTGATATTTTAGGAGCTGTACTCACTACTCATACAACTTAAGGGGAAGGCATTTGATGCAATAAGATATAGGGAAATTAATTCATTTAAAGAATTAAAAGTGCATTTATGAACAATTTTTAGTACGTCACACTCCCCACAATATTTAAGTGGGCAATTAAATGGAATGCAAATAGGTCAATATGAATCTATTAAGGACTTCGCGCAACGTATAGAGAAACCTGTATTACGAATTAACACGGGCATGGGAACCGTAGGGAAAAATATAGCCGAAGCTAAAAAACACGCACATTATGTTCAGAATAACGCGCAAAGTGTTTTTATACTTAATAAAAGATAAGATAATATTTATAACTCTCTTTATTCAAACAATACTACTTTCACGAAATGTTCAAAGTTTCGAGGAGGAGGTATTACTTTCAATTGATCGGGAAGCAGTTTTGTTTAAAATGAACCCTCTAGTTAAAACTGAATATTATGAAAATTATTTTCAGAATATAATAATTTTAATAAAACTAATGATTGGCCGGGTCACGATAAAATGTGTTTGGTTTAATGAGGGTAGGACTTTGAAGCAAAATATTATAAAAAAGAATATACATGGCAAATAAAATGTTGCAAATATTGTAAATTAAAAAATCATGACATCAGCGAGTGTCGGAAATTGAAAGAAAGAACAAAATAATAATATTAAAACTATATTATAATAATATTATATGGTTCACGGCCCAGTACCAAGCTGCTAGAGGCCCACAAGTGGGCCGCGGCCCATGGGTTGAGAACCACTGGTATAGATAGCCGTGTCCTGCACAGCGCTCACCACATAAATGGTGTCAGGTGAGGGGTCATGCTCAGCGCTCACCACAATCAGAACTCAAGTCTTCATTAGAACCCATTAAGGAAATTGCTTCGGCAAGTACTGAGGTGCCCGTGGTAATTGATTGTAAAGTATCAACTGAATCAGCAAATTCTTTAGCTATAAATGTAAAACCACTATTCAGGGTCATTCAATTAGGAAAACTTATGAATGAAAGTAAATACATAAATTGGATGAAAACGTTAGAATTCAATAAACCCTCCATAAGCGGAATTGAATCGTTTCGTAATACCAAAGTAAAAAGGGTTAAGCAGCCTTTATATGGCAACAATCACAGAAGAAGAAACTACTTCCAAGCCAATAAACTGTATATTAAGTATTTTAGTAAATTCGTACAAGATACGGTTGTAACTATTGCAAATATAATCAACAGTAATTCAATGTCGAACAAATATCACGAAGCACGAATTAATAAATTTTCTAAGAAGCGATCCGAAGCAGAAACACTTAAAGAATGTTGTGATTCCAATCAATTACACGAAAGACACAAAAATGTCTTAGAAACAAAGTTGAATATATACGTCATATCATCGTTTGCAGAATCAGAATTTAATTCAGCTTTTCAATTTTTTTTTTTAAGTATATTATTTGTATTTCGAGTTTTGGAGCAACCAAAATCCTGAAAAGTTAGCTTCTTCAAATATGTGGTACTTTTATTAAAGAATAGTTTGAAAAATAGTCAATATGTCTATCCTAAAATGTTTCTAATGTTCCGGTCAAAGACTTTTAAAAAAGACTGCATTAACTTCTATTGAAGATAGTCTTCTATTCTATTGAAGATTGTGAGGATACTGATCCCGGAGTCACTGGCCGCATGACATTATTGTTTATGTCAACAGTAAACAGCCTAGAATATTATCAAACTGTTATTGATGCTGTTATCAGGGATGCCAACGAAGACCTAGCATTATTAATCGATACTGCCACTTTTCAATGTTGCAATGATTTAAAGTTTAAAGATCCTGCAGTTTCATCAACTGTACAACATTCAAATGACATAATACCAATAACAGAGACTATTCAAAGTCCTATAAACTCTGATGATACAATTCAACAATGGTTTCCAGCCAATAATCCAGATGGAACTTACCAGTAAGTTTTATTTAAACTAATTATTATTATGGACCATTTAGTTGCCATAAATTATTAATTTTAGACACTAACTTAGAATGTGTAGATCTTTTGGTACGGGTTTTACTTTTAATCGTACGCTTCCAACAAACAGTTTTCATGGACGACAGTAAAATTGTAACTAAAGTATCTATAAAGTACATTCAAATGTTAATATCTCTGTTAATTATACTCGTTAATTGTAGCTCTACAAAAGGGGTCAGTAACCATAGTTTCAATTTTGTTATAAGATATAATAAAATAAGTTATTTCCAAATGGTTTGGTGTCTAGATCTTCATTAATTTGATAAAAGCTAGATATATTAAATTTTATAAATAAACTACAACTATCAAAACAATGACAAATAACATCTGGATTCGTCTGGATTATTGGCTGGAAACCATTGTTGAATTATATCATCAGAGTTTATAGGACTTTGAATAGTCTCTGTTATTGGTATTGTGTCATTTGAATGTTGTACAGTTGATGAAACTGCAGGATATTCAAACTTTAAGTCATTGCAACATTGAAAAGTGGCACTATCGATTTATAATGCTAGGTCTTCGTTGGAATCCCTGATAACAGCATCAATAACAGTTTGATAATATTCTAGGCTGTTTACTGTTGACATAAACAATAATGTCATGCGGCCAGTGACTCCGGGATCAGTATCCTCACAATCTTCAATAGAATAGAAGACTATCTTCAATAGAAGTTAATGCAGTCTTTTTTAAAAGTCTTTGACCGGAACATTAGAAACATTTTAGGATAGACATATTGACTATTTTTCAAACTATTCTTTAATAAAAGTACCACATATTTGAAGAAGCTAACTTTTCTTGATTTTGGTTGCTCCAAAACTCGAAATACAAATAATATATTTTAAAAAAATAATTGAAAAGCTGAATTAAATTCTGATTCCCCAAACGATGATATGACGTATATATTCAACTTTGTTTCTAAGACATTTTTGTGTCTTCCGTGTAATTGATTGGAATCACAACATTCTTCAAGTTTTTCTGCTTCAGATCTTTTCTTAGAAAATGTATTAATTCGTGCTTCATGATATTTGTTTGACATTTAAATATTGTTGATTATATTTGCAATAGTTACAACCGTATCTTGTACGAATTTACTAAAATACTAAATATACAGTTTTTTGGCTTCGAAGTGGTTTCTTTTTCTGTGATTGTTGCCATATTCAGGGTGCTGAACTCTTTTTATTCCGGTGTTACGAAAATATTCAATTCCGCTTATGGAGGGTTTATTGATTTCTAACGTTTTCATCCAATTTATGTATTTACCTTTATTCATTAGTTTTCCTAATTGAATGACTGTGAATAGTGGTTTTACATTTATAGCTAAAGAATTTGCTGATTCAGTTGATACTATACAATCAATTACCACGGGCACCTCAGTACTTGCCGAAGCAATTTCCTTAATGGGTTCTAATGAAGACTTGAGTTCTGATTGTGGTGAGCGCTGAGCATGACCCCTCACCTGACACCATTTATGTGGTGAGCGCTGTGCAAGACACGGCTATCTATACCAGTGGTTCTCAACCCATGGGCCGCGGCCCACTTGTGGGCCTCTAGCAGCTTGGTACTGGGCGTGAACCATATTATATTATTATATTATTATTATAACTGCCGTATGTATATGTGCTTACGTATATAAGAGGATTTTTTTTACAAAATTGGTGGTCTGCACAACTAAAACGGTTGGGAACCGCTGATCTATACCACTTTAATTATTTAACGACGTAGCACGTAGTCGTCAGTGTTGAGATGTGTGTTGAGAATGATTTGTATTGAATGCAGTTGTTTTCATTTCGAAAACCATATGAAAACATTTAAGAAATTTGTAAGGAAAATTCATCAACCATTAAAACAAGCTGTAAAACGGTACTCAGAACATGTAACGTTTAAACCACAACCAAACCATTTGGAAATAACTTATTTTTTTATATTTCCTATAGCAAAACTTGAAACTATAAAAGGGGTTACTTACCCCTTTTGGAGAGCTACAATTAACATCTGTTTTATCTGTACACAACTTCTGATTTTTTTTAGGAGGCTCAACGACTGTAGTTGTTGTATCAGTTTTAGACAATGTATCGTCATTAGATGTTTTATCGTCTTGCTATGTACTACATTTTCTTTGAGTTTATGAACATCTTCTTTGGGTGTGTCAACCTTATTTTTCTGTAAGCCACTAAAATTAATTAAAATTATTAACTTGAATAAGTATTTTGATATTATTAAACATACAATTATTAAAAATGTACATGTATTGAAAAATGTATTATTTGTTATTTAACTATAGCTTATAAAAGAGTTCTATACAAATATTATTGAAAGTATAAATTACATATAAGTGTAAATCAGTAGTGGAATTACGAATTTTCCTAAAATTCAATCAAATCAGTTGTTTATTAGATAAGTCGAATGGCTGTACTGTAGTGCGTGGTCTGCCCGAAGTACAATTTAATATATAGTTTAATCAAAATGTTTACTGTTTCTCATTACAATACTATATAGATTATGACTTTCAGAATTAATTGGGGTCCGAGAAAAATTTTTTTTTCTTAGGACAAAAGAGACAATACGACTAAACTTTCAATTATTGAACAAAAAGTGTAACCTGGATATTTATATATTCTGATAGATTGTTTGTTATAATGGGCGCTTTCAAATAGGATAATCTATCAATTTTAACCAAAGTAAACATTTTGTTGATCTTTTTACAGATCATTTGTAAAGATCTATTGTAAATTTCAAATCATTCAGAATTTGGCAAAAACGATAAAAAATATAACAAAATTCTTGATGGGTTGAACACATTATTTTTAGTATTCGTTATCATTTTATCGAAATTATGTATTTTAAAAGTCTTGTTTAAAATAAAAACAAATTTAATGCTCTATGAATACAGTAAATTTAAAAAAAAAGTTAGGCGTGGTACGAAATTCAGTGTTCGTAATATTACTAGTATTTGTAATGTAGGATATCACTAGTACCTATTTATATATAATATATAAATATAAAATAAACTCACCATTTAAAATTTG